GATCTTGGAAACTTTCCCGTCACTTTTTTGCCCAAATCCTTGAAGCTCCAACCACTACCACCCTACAATACTTACATCAGTGGATATAGCTCCTCAAGACCTAGCTATTGATGCCAATTTCACCCTGAAAATCCGGCGACCAAAATCCTGCCAAATTCCGGCGACCTCCCCGAACATCCTCTTTTGGCATACCACCATTTTTTCGGCCACTTGAATTGTAAAATGGTAAAAATCCTATTCTTTTTCATGGCTGATTTTTTATTTTTATTTTTAATTTTCAGATTTTATTTTGGTCTATTATTAATTATTTTAGCATTAGTTTTTGAAGTTTGAAATGTTCAATTTTCTGTTTTTGCACTTGTTGAAGTAGTAAAATAGTTTTGTATTAATAAAAGTGAGGTAGTGCAGAATACTTAAGAGTATATGGTACTTGTTTGGTTGTTTATTTACTGCTTCAAGACTCTTTGAGTACAATACTCAAAAGTCAAATTGTTTNTAATACTCAAAAGCCAAATTGTTTGGTAAGAAAATATAGACTTTTGGACAGTGTTTGAATAAAAGTCTGTCTTTGAATAGTGGAGAACAGATTTTGTTTGAAATATTTGACAAGATTTGAACCAGAAAGTCTGGCCTTTTGAATTTAAGAGCAGATTTTGTAGAAAATCTGTCAAAAAGATTGATTTTTTATTTTTTGAAATAGCTGGTTGTTTTGATATATAAGAGGGACTCAATCACACTTCCAGGGGGAGAGAATAATTGCTTTGAACACACAAAAACATAAAAAAAATAAAAAAAAATCAGCAGTTGAACACATGAAAAGTGAGCTGAAATGGTGAGCTTTGGGAGTGAATCTTAGAGTGCAAACTTTTAGAAAAGTATAATTCCTCTTTAGAGTTCGTTTCTGGGTTTCCTCTCTAAGTTTTCGGGTTATTTTAACACGGATTTGCTGCTGGTTTTGCTGCTGTTTTGCTGCTGTTTTTATGCTGCTTTAGTTGCTGAACTACTGTTTATTCTTTTGTTATCCAGGTAATCCTTTAAGACTCGTAACTTACGTATTTTCAGCAATGGGAACAACTTGAACATACTGCACTATTTAAATGTGTTTGATATGATGAATAATTTGACAACAAAAGAGCTTATATGTTATTGTTATGTATCAAGCATGTGATAATGTGAATATAGTCCTTCGTAATACTTGAATATTGAGTTGTAAGTTTTTTGAATGTGATATCTAAGTATGCCATGATGACTTTAGATGTATAACACATAACATGAGTTCGTTTTAGTTGCTAAAATTTCACTGCCAATATATGCTTCTAGGAATGTTATGATAATTTTTTTTAATCTGGCCATTTTTCCAGATTTGCAAAAGTGGCTATTTTTGTAAAGTATGCGTTTATACAATTGTGACTATGTAGTTAATGATCATAAATGCAAACTAAGTAAAGAACCAAGATTGTATCAACTTTGGGCTTTTTTTGAACCAAAAAATAAAAACTGGTTCATTTACCTTTAAACAACAAAATTACCCCTTTTTCTTCTATATAACATTGGACCAATTAAAATCCATTTCTTGGCCCATTTTAATAATAAATTCCAGCAACCCAAGAGCTCTTTACAAGCTGGCCCATTTTTTTTTAACAAGAAGTTGGCTCATTTCTTTTAAAATAGATTAAGTTGGTCCAACTTTTATTTGCTTAATTTTTCCCAACTATAATTCTAGAAAATAGTAATAATATCAGATTTTTCTACTATTTTTAATTAACTCATTTCCTTTTTAAACGCTAGGCAATTAGTAGGTGCGCTTTAACTCACGGAATCACTTGTGTAGCGTGAGGTTTGAATATTCAATAAATTAATTTAATAATCTCATACCATGCCCATTAATTTTAGTTAATTCTTAATTTAGTATATTTTTTTTTGTTAAGATCGCGAATTCGCTTGCGTAGCGCGATAGTTGATTTTTTATTTTATTTTCAAAACATATCTCTTCGAATGTAGTAATTTTTTCAGACGTAAATAACATGCTAACAATCGTTTGTCATGACTGCGGATTCGCTTGCGTAGCGCCGTTATGACTAAATAATAAATTTCGTCGATCATGCACTCGCTTGCGTAGTGTGGTTATGACATCTTCTTATTAAAAAATATTATTTAATTTTTCTAATAATCAAGAGATAAAAGCGGATAGGTAAAAATATGAAAAATAATATAAATCACAGTTTATCCAAATGTAGTCAATAAAGCGACCGTGCTAGAACCACGGGACTCGGAGAATGCCTTACACCTTCTCCTCGGTCAACAGAATTCCTTATCCGGACTTTGTTTTCGCAGGCCAATAATAAAAGAGTCAAACCTTCTTTTGACTAGGGATTCAAATAAAAGGTGACTTGGAACACCAACAAATCAATTCCAAGTGGCGACTCTGAATAACAAAAATAATTCCTATTTCAAAATTGTCACTTTAATTGGAAAAACTCTTTAACCCACAAATTCGTAGCATAACACGTTACATTTTGTACATATCTTTTGGAGGGGTAAAAAAGGGGTGTGACAGTAACGACGGAAGCTCTTCCTATTTTGAGCTGCATGAATATGAACTACTCTTTTGGGAAGGAAAAGAGATAGTAGAAAGGGTAACACCGTCTTTTCATATTAATTTTAATAAATTAGTGTTTACTTTTGCTCAGCACTAAAAAACTGGATAAAAAGTAAATAACACTTTAAAAAGTGGTTACCTCACGCAATTTTTACAGAAGAAGACATAAGACGAGCCCATTCTTACAAATAGTCGGTCAGATTTAATGTTATTTTTTCTAGCCAATATAGATAGATTATACATAGTTATACATATATTATATACGCCGGCTAATTTTAATTTAAAAAACTAGGTAGGCGGCTATTTGGATTAATTCTTCTAAAGTGGTGTTTTTTGGGCCTCTTTTGTGGCTTATGAGTCCGGACATAGGCTTCTTGTTGCAAAAGTTTGGTTCTGCTATGGCACAGCTGATACAAATGCGTCTTACAACTATTAAGTTCAAATTCACTTTATAATAGACTTGAATATAGTATCTCATAAATATTTACACTGGCTTTATACTCCCGTTTCATAAGTTAATGAGTTCATTTAAATACTCATGTTGTCATTATACATGAGACTTGTTTCTTTTACCAATTTTTATACTTGATGACTTGAGACTCTTTGTCTTTTCCTCTTTCTGTTGTCGACAATAGGATTACAATCTCAATATCCTATATATAAGTTTAAGGAATTAAACCTTTCGTTTTTGAAAAAAAGAAAATTTTACCAGATCATTTCTTCTCTCTTTTCACATCACTGCCTTCTAATTCAAAAAAAATGTTTCTTTAAGAAATAAAATAGAAAAAAGAAGAAGAGGAGAAATAGGACAAGTAAGAAGAGCGATAAATGCGGCGAAAAATCACATGTGAAGATGTCCAAAGAATATGACATCAATGAAGATCCCGTATCTCTCTTCTTTTGTCTGCATTTACACCTTAGACTCCCACAAAAATGGAAATCTTTTCTTACTTTATTACTTCTCACGTTCACAATAAGTTATCAATATTGCTTTGGATATCTTCATTAAAGAAATATTAAATTCTATACAAAAATAGTTAGTATGACTAAATTACCCTTAATTAAATATTGCAGCATAGTTAATGTGAGGAGTAAAAGACTTTTTTGGAAGACGTACATGAGGGTAATTTTGGAAAAATAAATTAAATTATTTCTTGGTAATATAAATGGACACTTATTTTGGACCAAAATAAAAAAAATAAAATTGATTACTTATTGTGGACAGGAAGGAGTACCTCTTTCCCTTTGGTAGTTACTATAGTTAGTTTCCCTAGCGTTTAGGGCAGTGCTCTTTATAACCTTGGAAGCAATGGGAAAATTTTATTTTGTGTTTCATACAACTGACAATACTTGTATGAGATATTTTTTTGTCTCACAGTTTTGTGAACTCCGAATTTTATGGACCCAGAGAGTCCACAAATTTGTGAGAGAACAAAGAGCTTCACACGACTAATGTAAATTGTGTGAGGCGCACAATAAAGCTTCTGGAATCAGTGTGTTTGACCCTTTGGGTCATAGACTACTCACACATTTTCATACACAAGTACTTGTTATGTCGAGGAAGAGGCAAACCCGAAAATAAAGAAGATAAAGAACACCAAATTTTAACGTGGAAAACCCTTCAAATCGAAGGTAAAAACCACGGGATCACAAAGATCCAAAAAGCTCCACTATAACAATAAGAGGGTTACAAAAGTTCTCCAAATTGGCTACACAACAAGTGCTAAACACGGAGCAACAAGAGCAACAACTAATCAATTGAAAAAAGAGTATAATCCACAAAAACGAAACTGTTGTTCGAGGCTCGAAATAAGATATTACGAGCCTCCAAATCCGATCTCCACCATTCAAATCCAAGATGTTACGAACACTTAGTCAAAATTTCAGCCCGATCCAACGGTTAACGAATCGGAAAACGTGATTTAAAGTTGGCTGGTCGGAATAAAAATTTGCAGCAAAACAAATATTTTTCTTCTCTCTTCTCTCGTGACGAAAGCTCTCTCAAAAAACCACTCTTATGTGCTTAAGTCTTTCAAAGACTTGTATCAATGAGCATTGAATAATTCTCCAAGGTTGTCCTATTTATAGATCATGAGTGGTGCTTTCTCTTAAAGCCAAAACTCACTCAAAATAGGAATAAACCGAATCCAATTCCAAATAGGAATGGAAACCAAAAGAAAATATGATTAGGTCATTGGGCCTTTGGCTGGACAACATGGGCATGTGCCCAACAAACTCCCCCTCCAGCCAATGGGGATAAATGTGTCTTCAAGTAGAGGAACTATTGACAGGCTTCATGCCTGCCAATTTTCTACAAAATTCATGTTTATTTGCAACCACCACCTTTGTCAGCATATCTAAAGAATTTTCATCAGTGTGTATCTTCTCAACCTCAAATAATTTCTCTTCCATGGCCATTCTTATCCAATGATACTTTCTATTTATATGTTTGGTCTTAGAATGAAAAGTGGAGTGCTTGATGAGACAGATAGCACTCTGATTATCACAAAATAAGATGTACATTGGCTGCTCAAAGCCAAGATCATTAATAAACTACTTCATCCATAATAGTTCTTTGGCACCTTCTGTGACAACAATATATTCGGCTTCTGTGGTGGATAGAGTTATGCACTTCTGTTGTCTAGATTGCCAAGAAACAGCTCCCCCTGCAAAAGTGAACAAATAACCGGAAGTGGATCTTGAATTATCAAGATTGCCTCCTAAATCATAGTCTGTGTAACAAACAAGTTCAGGCTTGCCATTGCCAAAGCACAACTTTAAATCTGTAGTACCTTTCAAATACCTTAATATCCATTTTACTGCATCCCAATGTTCTTTTCTAGGATTAGAAAGGAATCTACTAACAGTACCAACGGCATGTGCAATATCTGGTCTAGTGCAAACCATAGCATACATCAAGCTACCAACGGCAGAAGAGTAAGGAATACGAGACATCTCCTTTTTCTCTTCATTAGTAGATGGACTCTGACTAATACTCAATTTGAAGTGTTTAGCAAGAGGGGTACTAACCACTTTTGCATTTGTCATATTGAACCTCTTGAGTACCTTCTCAATGTATTGCTTTTGGGACAGAAATAACTCATTTCTATCTCTGTGGATTTGAATGCCCAAGATTTTCTTTGCTGGCCCCAAGTCCTTCATCGCAAACGATTTACTCAACTGCTTCTTAAGGACTGCAATTCTGGATTTATTTTTGCCAACAATAAGCATGTCGTCCACATAAAGTAATAAAATAATAAGATCATCATCAGAGAACTTCCAGAAGAATACACAGTGGTCTGAAGAAGTTTTCTTGTACCCTTGTTCTTCTATGACAGATTCAAACTACAAATACTATTGCGTTGGAGCTTGTTTCAATCCATACAGGCTCTTTTTCAATTTGCAGACATAATTTTCTTTTCCATTAGTTACAAAGCCCTCAGGTTGCTCTATATAAATATCCTCATCTAAATCACCATGGAGAAAAGCAGTCTTGTCATCCATCTGCTCAACCTCTAAATCTAGACTTGCAGCTAAGCCTAGAACCACACGAATAGAAGACATCTTTACAACAGGGGAGAAAATTTCATCAAAGTCAACTCCCTTCTTCTGGCCAAAATCTTTAGCAACTAACCTCGCCTTGTATCTAGGCGCAGAGGTATGGTTATCTTGCTTTATTCTGAATATCCATTTGTTAGATAAAGCTCT